AACAGCTTTTGGTTAAAACTACTACTTCATCCCAATCATGGACTATGGAGATCCACATTAAACTCATTTTTATCACAAAGCCTCTGTTTTGTCACAGGTGTTTAACTTTTACCACCATCTCTGCACTTTCCTCCTGGTGAAGTGTTCCTCTCTCCACACCCGCACACACACACACACTGTTATTGTTCATTTACAAATGTTTCATTGAGGGGTCATCAAACTCAGGCCCGCGGGCTGACTCAGGCCCTCCACACCTTAAATATTACTTACCTAGATGGACATAAGAGCTGGCCAGTTGGTTTATTTATTTTTTACATATTTATTTCATAGGCCTACTTTTGTTTTACTTTTATTAAGTGATGCACACAATTATTATGAATACAATTGTTATTAATATTATTATTGTTAATATCATCAGGCCAACCTACAGTTTGTAATTTTTCACTCTCCTTTTGCCAGAGTCAATCACCAGATGATTCTTACTTTGACAGTTTCTTACCTTGATATTTTTTACCCTTGATGTTATTGTTATTAGAAAATAATGACAATCAATGGAATATCTGTGGTATTTCAAATTAAAACAAAGTGTGAAGTACTTACTACTTTTGCAAATCACTAGTAAAAATAAACAAATATGTGCCAGGAGTGATGTGTTGATATAATACTGTGGATGGTTGTGTCAGGAGAGTCATTTCTACTGCACTCTGAGACCTGCTGTGGTCATTTTGGTCTGGGTCATACAGTTCTGTTATAGGGCCCCGACCCCGGCCCCCAGCAAAGTCAGGAGACATAATGTGGCCCCCAGAGAAAAAAGTTTGATGACCCCTGGTTTAATTGGTAAAAGTCCATTGTACTTCAGCTCAATCCTGCACATCCACTGCTACAGACACACACACACACACACACACACACACACACACACACACATGGATGCACACACACACACACACCCCGTGCTCCAACACACACACACACACACACATGACCCTGGTGGTTTTAAAGCTGCAGTTTTGGGACACTCCTCATTTCATTTCTGCAGCAGAGTCTGGAACCTCCTTCAACAAACTTTCAAACTTAGTTTGTTTTTACCTCTGTCGAGTATTTGACAGGATCATTGCACATGTTTTTAACACTTTTATGTCTTTAATGTGCAAATGTTTCACTGTGTCACATCTCTATTCACTGTTTCATGTTCTGGTTGATGTGTGAGTGTTCTGGTCGTCTCTGCAAATGAGAAAGTGTTCTCAACTGATTTACCTGGTAAAATATTGAATAAATAAATAAAAAGGTCATAATAATAAAAAGAGAAACAGTGTGTGGATGGATTTTTACATCAACAATTGAAGCACTAGTTACTTTAGATTAAATTAAGGAGCTCTGAATTTCATTATACTGTATAATGACAAAAAAGGCTTCTATTCTAAATAAGTTATATATTTTAGGAAGCGTCTGTGGTTGGATCCTCAAGTTTGGACAGAGGATTTTCACACTCTGTGGTCCAGTTTGATCCCTTCTGGATTTGAACAGAATGTAGACGAGACTGGCAGCTCATGCAAACAGCTGAGTGCTGTTGTTGTGTCTTTGGGGAAACAGTTATCCCCATCAGCCCCAGTGTGTGTGTGTGTGCACACTGCACACTGGTGTGTGTTTGTGAATGGGTGAGTGGATCCTTGATGTAAAGAGTGTGAGAAAGGTGCAAAACCACAATCACTCTGAATATTTAGTTTTGTAGAGTTAATTGCTATGGCAACTGTGCTCATTTTCATCACTCTAAACCCACAGATATGGATTGCCCTTCAAAAATAAGGTCATATGAATAAAAGATAAATGAAATACCAAAAATAAAATGCGCATTACAGTAAATCTACACCTACCAGCTTTCCAAACTTAAAATTAAAATGTGTTTATTATTCATTTATTAATTTCTTTAGATATTGTTGCTATTACCTCAATGTTGCTTTTTGCAGTGTTAAAATGCTTTAAATTAAGACTTTATTTTATTTGAGTCAATTCAACTTGACAAGTCTAGTGGAATAAGTGTTTTTCTTAATTCAAGCAACATTTGATTTTGTTTCTTATTTTAAGTGCAAAGAGTTGTTTTTTTTAATTTTTTATCTTAAATGTAAAAAGATCTATTTTCAGATTTTAAGTATAAAATGTCTTGTTCCATTGGCAGATTATTTTTATTATGTGAAATTTACTCAAATTATGATACAAATAAATTAATTCAAGTCATCTTATCTTGACTAGACTTGAGTTTTTGCAGTGTAGTGATGCTATTTCAGTATAAAGATTCATTTTATTAAAATGCCAGGCAAAATTGTATTTTCCCATCCTTCAGTGTTTGAGAGTAACAGGAGCAGAGGCCCACAGTGTGTCCAGACCAAACACTGTGTGTGTAAACCTCTGACATGTACAGACGTATGGGAGGTCTGCTCTTGTCAAAGAGATTTAGACTAATATGTAAATGAACACAGGACAAGAGGATGAACACACGAACTTTAACTCAGGTCAGCCACAAGAGCTGCAGCTGTAAGGCAATATCAGGTTTGTAGGTGAAACAATATTATTTTACTGATGTTTATCAATAACATTATATCTCTATAAATGATGAATTACTGCTGTATTCATATTATTATTATGTTTCATTGTTGCTGCCAAAAATAGAATTCCTTCTGGATAAATAAAGTATTTATTTATGCATCTATCTCTGTATCATAATAACTGAATCAAATGTAATAATATAACAACCAAAAATCCACTGTTCTGGGATTAGTAACAATATATCGTCGTCAGCTCAGACTGATTCTGATTCAGATTCTCAGATCTGAAATGATGTTTTCTGATGCAGGATCTGCAGCCTGCATGTCTCCATGTTCCACAGTATAGCATTAAACATCTATTCAGTATTTGTTCAAATATAGACGTTTTATTACAAAAAACACCTTGAAAACATGTTGTGAGTGAGCCTACCTCTCCACAGATCTGGCCAGTAACTTGCTTGATCATGCCACCTGTCTCTCTCCATGGAGTTAGAAGTTTAATGTCACACTGTTTGACCTGTGACTGTGACAGACCCGAGCAGCCTGAGCAGAGACGACAGCAGCGTCATCACGAGGAGAAACATACAAAACAAAGAATGACCAGAGGGGGGCAGTAGAGAGGGACTACAAGTCACTTTTCTGGTGAATCTTTTCTGGTGAAGAGTACACCACTTTTTTTTTCTTTAAAGAAATGTTATTGCTTTGCTTCAGCCTTTGTTTTATTCGAGGTGATTTTATTGTTACAGTTGTACTTTTAACATGCATTCTTGTGTGAGTGCACCCACCTCTCCACAGAACTGATCTGTACCATGGCCTGCTTGTCTCCATGGAGATAGTTAAGTTTAATACTGTACTGTGAAACATTCAAGCCTGAGCAGTTAAGTACATCTAAATGGAACCTAATATTAATAAATGTACCGGCCATAAATTCACAAAGCAGCTACGATGTTTGAACTTGGAGCAGGAATGAATGAAAAAAACTCCCAAAATCGTCCCTTTCGGTGAGAGAGAGTATCCTGCTCTGGCTCCAGTTTGTTGGTGATGAGGTAATGCTGCTCAGTCCGTGTCAGTGATGTCATATTAGATTAAAGGAGCCAGTTTATGACCCTGAAATAAAAAATGCATGAATCAAGAGCTATCAGATATACTTCAATTTAGACCAATGAATCTCAAACCTCTAAGAAAATTCACTTTTACCAGAAACATCCATAGTAATGTTGGAAAGCTAAAGATATAGACTTACATTTATTCTTGACACCACACACTTTTTAAATTCATGAATTATATATTTCGTTGTTATTCAACCAAATATTGTGTTTTTCTTTTTTCTGTATATCCCAGTTGGAGGATTTAAAAGTATACACCAGGAGCAAAAGTGAATATTTGTAGTTCATTTATTTGGACTACACTGGTGTGTGACTGTAAGATTCTTATAACTTTGCGGTGTAACAGAGTGGGTAATAGAGAAAAAAGAAGAAATATTACAATGAAACGATGAAACGTGACTTTTGGTGGCAGAGTTTTAACAAAGTGCTGGAGGCAGATCCACCTGACACCAGAGTAACTCTACACCTCAATTATGCCTTAACTAATATCTCCTAGGTCCTACCTCCTATCTCCTTTGTTCTTGTTTATTCAGTGGTAAATCCCAGGAGGTTACACATTAAAATGAGAAAATAACTATAGTTTTTTAAACAGTATGACTGTCATAGTTATAATTGCTGGGAAAACAGAGCATACCTGAATGAAAGACATTTGTTCAGTTAAATGACATATAGTTAAAGGTGCATTGTGCAACTTCTCTAGTGGAAGGTCTGCCACCCTTTTGTCACAAGCAGGTGATGCAACAAGACCAGGTTACTTGTAAGATCTGTGAAGAGGAACAGTAAGAAGGCATTTTAGAGCATTTAAAACCAACTGAAACCATGTATTGAATTCAAACTGTGCAAGATGGATGAGGTTAATGTCATAGTGGAACGTTTCAGGCAAAGCAATAACTTCTCCAAGTGCTGGACCATCCACAAGAAAAAAAAAAAGTTTAATCTTATATAAAATAATAATTGTGTGTGTGTTTCTGTGTTGGTTGTTGGTCTGTTTAATTGTGTTGTTGTGCATCAGTGGGTCTGTGTGTGGAGCACCTGACACAGGTGTAGAGTGTCTCCATGAGTCATACACGCTCCAGGACATGTGAGGGAGGGGCTACGGAGGAGAGGAGGGGACGAGGAGGGGAGAGGAAGAGGAGGAAAGGAGAGTAGCACTGCCACTGATATTTTATGTTAACATTCACTAACTCGTCGAGAGTTGATACAGTGACTCAATAATGATTTTTGGGATTTGGCAACATGGAAATGTGAACAGTCCTTATCTAAACTGTAATTAAATCTTTATTTTATTGTATTTATGTGTCAATGCAACATGTGAAAAAACAATAGAACAGAACAAAATGTGACACTCAGTGATGATTTAAAAAACATCAGAAATAAACAAGGTCTAAACCAGAACTAAACCAGGTCTAAACCAGGTCTAAACAAGGTCTAAACCAGAACTAAATCAGGTCTAAACCATGTCTAAACCAGGTCTAAACCAGAACTAAACCAGGTCTAAACCAGGTCTAAACCAGGTCTAAACCAGGTCCAAACCAGGTCTAAACCAGGTCTAAACAAGGTCTAAATCAGGTCTAAACAAGGTCTAAATCAGGTCTAAACAAGGTCTAAATCAGGTCTAAACAAGATCTAAACTAGGACTAAACCAGGTCTAAACCAGAACTAAACCAGAACTAAACCAGGTCTAAATCAGATCTATCCCAGGTGTGTCCCGTGCCTGTGTCACTGGTCCGGGGGCAGTCCTGTGGTGTAGAGGTAGGACACAGTTCCTGCTTGGATCTGAAAGGTCTGTCCCTGGATGTGGTTGGCCGAGAGCTGCTGGTTGGTCTGGCTGATGGAGATGGCCTGTCCACTGTGGCTGCTGATGTGAATGCTCTGGCCTGGGTCCTCTGCTCCCGCCGCTAAGCCCGGAACGCTGGGGAGAACCTGCAGCTGCTCCATGGCCTCTTTACTCAGCGTGATCACATGCATCTGCTCTGACTGCTCCATGTTCTGATCACTCTGAGACACCACAGCCAGGTTGGGTAAGTTCTGAGTGAGCAGTGTTATACTCTGATCCTGCCCTTGCACAAAATTAAGATTATCTGAGCTCACGACCAGCTGGATCTCCTCTCCTCCGCTGGGATACGGCTGCAGCTCCAGTATATTTTCGTTGGCTTGGTCCTGGGTCGCAGATGACGATGGGGGTTCTTTGTTGTGAGTTTTGGCGTGGCTCTTCAGGTTGTCCAGACGAGTGAAAGATAAGTTACAAGAGGAACAGCTGAAAGGTTTTTTGCCCGAGTGAGAGCTCACGTGACGTCTGCGAGCGCTGGGGTCTGAGAAGGACTTCTGACAGATGTGGCATTCGTATGGTTTTTCCCCTCTGAAAATACAACAACAAAGAGAAAAGAGCATTAGTAAACAAGGGCTACAGCTCTTCTGATTTATACAAAAGTTCATTTATTATGTAACGTATTTTTCGGACTATAAGGCACACTTAAAATCCTTATGCATTTATTCTGGTTGTGTTTACTGACCTTGAACCGATTTTATGTGGTACATGGCGCTCAAAAATCTGTCAGAATGCTTTAGCATGACTTTGGTAAACTACGAAGTCGCACCACTGGATGGATTGTCAGAGCATTATGGCGACCGTAGTCAGGAGCTTTGCGGAGTAATACACATTCACCAAGACAGGAAGGCAACGCCGGGCGAATTACACCACAATCTGTCAAATGGATCGTGGACGCCTGGATCAGTCTCAAGTGTCGTCCGTTTGTTTTGCTTAATGCATCTTATAATCCGGTGAAATTTATGTATGAAAACAGACGAGAGAATTCATTATTACCTGGTCCCTGAAGGGTTGACCAGGTTTTGTATTCACTCTGTGTGTATGTGTCTGTCCACCCACAATAATTCTACCATTTATGCACCGATCGTCACCAAATTTGGTACGTGGGTCAAGCCCTCGTGCCCGATGCCGCAAAATAAGTTTGGTGATGATCCAAGGTCATCTGAGGTCACACGGGTCAATTGAAAGGTCAAGCCATTATAAAGGATCAGCAATTTCTGCAACTTCTGAACCATCTGTGGCCTAAAATATTCACCCAATCGTCACACAGGTTGGCACACACATAACCAGGGTGCACTGGATGTTACAGGTTGAAACCGGTCAAGGTCACTTGACGGTCACCAAGGTCAAATATGAGTTTTTGGTCATAACCCCATGACGGATGGAGCTTGAGCAACGGGAGTGTCTCAAAATCTCAGAAAAAATATGATCTATTTATAATTCTATGCATTTGTATAATCAAATATTCATAGTTTTCGAGATAATCACTAATTATAACATTTCCTTTCTCTTTCAGTGTAGCCGTTAAAATTCTAATTGGAACAAAAATAATTTCCATTTCTTGTTTTTCTGGTGATACACAACACACTGATCTACAGTCACACAACTAACACACACACAACTCATGAAGAATGACATTTTGGTTCCACACTAGTAAACACAGACATTCTCATGTGTGACCAACATCACACACATGTTCATGGGCCTGTACACATACACACATTGTATTGTGGCGATAATGATCATGTGATATGGGCTGGACTCCTCATAAACTGTTTCTGTGCTGATGAACTGACCCACCGACGCCTCATAGGGACCAGGTTGATATCTCTGACTGAGCTTGTTGATAATGCGTTTTATAATCTGGTGCGCCTTATAGTCCGAAAAATATGGTAACCTGTAGGAGAGTTCCTTTATTTTGTTAAAGGAATGTTTAAACTGTCAAAAATATTTTGCAGGGGCATCAATTGACTAGGGTTGGGTAACATTAAGAAGTTGCCAAAATGATACATTCCTCGATACACGGGCCATGATACAATACATATCTCGATACAGTGCACTTTCGGTTCGATACGATATACTTCAAATCTATTCAATACAGTTCAATAAAAAAATAAATCCTAAATCATGGCTGTGATACTAAAAGTCTCTGTTAAATCACTTCTTGTGCAAAGTTCATATGAAACACGAACATTTTATTCATCAAAACGTCAAATGTGTCACATAAATAAGTTTCCCTCATCTAAACAAACAACAAAACTGTAGCTGTAACAAAATACTTTAGTAAAATATACCAAAAATACTCTTGGCGATATATCGATAGAGCAACCCACGATATACTGATAAAAGATATGATATTTCGATATTTCAATATTTTTGCACACCTCAAAATTTACCCTAAATTTTTGAAAAGATTTTGCATATTACTGATAGATAATATTGCATATACTGGTAGAATATTAAGATGAAATACAGGCCATATTTACAAAACTTATAGATGCATTTTGTGGAGGGTCTGTCAAATGCTTTTCTCCATGCAGATGTTATTTCGTTGTCTGGAATGTTCCACAGTATAGCATTAAACCTTTCAATCTTCACAGAGACCAAACTGGACCAAGTTACAGGTCAGATCTGTGGAGAGGCAACCCCGTTCACAGCCAGACTGTCTGTTTTTCTAGGTATTTTTGAGCTCTTAAACCACCTGTAATTGAATAAATATAAGGCAGAGCTGTTTAATGTCACACTGCGGAACATTAGAGGTAGAGCAATGACATCTCCATAGAAACAAGTAGGTGATGGACCCCAAACAAAAAAGTTACACAATGCAAGTTTAAGGTGTAAATTGTCTCTTGTGTATTGATGACAGACAGAACAATAATAAGAAAGACTGTGGGTATTTAGAAAACTTTAAATCTTGAAAATAATCAATAATCAGATCATATTTTTATGATATATTTTTTGCAAATCATCAGAAATTTTTACAAAAATGAATGGCCCTAATGATTCTTTTCCATGTTTTTATGCAAAACAGCCCCAGTTCAGATATATTATTTAAGTAGCTCTTGAGGTCAAAATAAGTCTGCTGCTTCTATTATTATTATTAATCCAGGATTCAGGAAGTCCTCAGTTAGCATGCTTGTTGTTGTTAGCATTATCTGCTCTGGTCTCTGAAAGTTGGTGAATAATTATGCTGCTCTGGATGCATAAGGTAAGAAAGGAATAACTTCAGAACACTGCAAACTGTTTCAGATGAACTAGTTGTGTTTTTCAAGTTTAAAAAATGAAAAATCAGGTAGAAAATCTTTAGACTTAAACCCAGACATCAGGAGAAGAAACTCTGCACATGAGGCTGGTACATCAGTCCTTACTTGTGGATCCTGATGTGAGTTTGCAGAGTGGATTTGGTGGTGAAGCATTTCCCGCAGATTTCACAGGTGAACGGCTTCTCTCCTAAAGTCACAGATAAAAAGGGACAGTTAGTTTTGCCTCAGTAAATCCATCTGAACTAGTAAAGAATGTCAAAACCAAATAAATATTATAAATTCAAATCATCTTATAGGTGCATTGTGTCTTCTGTAAAGCTTTATGTGCTCGATGTAAACAGCAGTCCGCCTCACGAGCACACAGCTTTTGGAACTGTTACATTATACATTACATTATACTGGAAAAGCATATTTGATATTTTGCCCAGAATTCTTTAAAAAAATCATTAAAGCCAGATCCAATACTTGCTCTCTTTGGAGTGAAGTCGGCAGCTGTTCAACTATCGAACCCTCAAATCAGTATGGTACATTTTATGACACTTTCAGCACGCAAAACTGGAAACAAAAACAGCCCCATCTTGATCGATCTTAATGAAAGACGTTATGAAACATTTACAATTAGAAAAAATAAAATACTTACTCAAGGAAAAGCTCAGAATATTTTTTTCTACTTGGCAACCATTTATAGATTTCTACAACTTTACAAATGTGTAAAAACTGAGCTGAAAAAGATATTATGATGAATCCACTTGTTGTTTACTCTTTTTGTTTGTTTGTCTGGTTTTGTTTTATTTTATTGGAGTGTCTATTTGCACCCTGGGTGTTAATAGTTCAATGGACAGGATTGTTCTATTTACACCCATCTCAAGAAAAAAGGGAATGGTGACGTGTCTGCTTATGTCGTTTCCTGTGAAAAGTGCGGGAAGCTGGATTTGCTCCCGTACGGCGCATGGACCATGGCTCTTCCCGTGCGCCTCTAAACCGGAACTAAAACCAGCACTAAAACCAGGACTAAACTAGAACTAAAACCAGTTCTAAACCAGGACTAAAACAGGATTTAACCGGGATTAAACCATTAGGACAGACAGTGATTGACTGATGATTCCGCATCATTAAAAAAAAAAAAACATCAAATATGACTGATTTTCACTGGGCTGGTGCCCTATGTTTGTACTGACAGTGAGTTTTTTTTTTATTTTTTATAAATAACCTGGGTGTAAATAGCATTTTTTGTCTAGGAACACCTGGGTGCCCTTCTACGTGCCACAGTAAATACACCTGGGTGTAAAAAGCAACAACAGCGATTTGCCTTATGTGTGAATAACAATGTTAGACATTTACACCCAGGGTGCAAATAACATCTGCCTTATTACCTCCGCCAAGGAGGTTATGTTTTTGCCGGCGTTTGTCTGTTTGTTTGTTTGTTTGTTTGTCTGTTAGCAACATAACTCAAAAAGTTATGGATCGATTTTGATGAAATTTTCAGGATTTGTGGGAAATGTGAAAAGGAAGAACTGATTTCATTTTGGGGGTGATCCGGAAGAAATCCTGGATTCTGGATCACTTTGAAATTTTAGTGAACATTGTGGTAAATGGGGCCAAAGATTTTGTTTCTCAATATCTCGGTTAATTATTGACCAAACCCCATGAAATTTGACTCAGGGATGGACAATGGGATCCTCTTTCATATTCCAAAGGCTGATCTGGATCTGATCCAGAAGACTGATTTTATCGCAATTTATATAAAAAATGGGGGTAGTCCTTGGCGGAGGTCTGCGCTCTCTGACTGCTTTTCTAGTTTTATTTTATAATCTCTGTTATTGGTGGATTGTGTAACTTTTCTGGTGGAGGGCTCATCAAATGCTTTTCTTTGCATTGATGTTATTGCTTTGTCTAGAATGTTTCACAGTATGGCATTACAGCTTTCTATCTTCATGAAGGCCAAACCAGACCAAGTTACAGGTCAGATCTGTGCAGAGGCGACCCCGCTCACAGTCACAATGTCGCTTTTTCTAAGTATTTTATTTTTCCTCAAATTTAATACATGTAAATTAGAGCTGTTTAATGTCACACTGTGGAACATTCCAGTCAGAGCAGTGACATCTCCATAGAAACAAGCAGGTGATGGACATTCAACCAAAAAGTTACACAATGCACCTTTAAAACTCCACTATGTAACATTTCAGCTAGAATAGACAAATAAAGAGCGTAATGAAATGTTTTTATTTTAGTATTGTTATGTTTTGGGGCTTTAATTCATATTTATTTACTAAGTGTTCAATAGAAAGTGTTTTTTTACCTGTGTGAGTCCTGAGATGTTTCTTGAGCTGAGCCGTGTCCAGAAACTTGTGGTGACACTCAGCACATTCAGGTAAAGACTTATCTAAAAGAAATGAATGAAAACCTGAGTTGGACATGATTTGACTTCGTGACTTGGATGAAACATGAGGCGCTTCAGACCTGTGTGGACTCTGTAGTGACTTTTGAGCTGACGTTTCTGAGTGAAGGTCCGATCGCACTTATCACAGCTGAAAGACTTGTTATCTACAAAATAAAAGTATATTGTTTTACTTCAAATGTACAATATTACTCAGACGAATGAACACAGACGCTGAAAATGAGCATAAGTGTGAAATTCTAGACATTTAACTTAAACAAACAAATTACCTTTATAGTTTAAATGCAGTAAAAATCTAACACAAAGATACAGCCCTCCTATTGGTCAGCCTCTGTCCTGCTCTGAGTGAGTGACAGGTGGATTTAACCAATCACAGTAAAGTGTGAACTCTCTGAAGAAGCAGATGGATTGCGTTACCTCTTAAACGCAAAACAATTAAAGGGTCCACAGTCACTATTTTCTGATCTGTTCTAATGTCGTTTCCTCATCAAAAACATAGTTGGAGTTGTGTTTTGTTTCATTCACATGTTTAACACACAAACCTGCACAATTTAGGCTGAGTTCTTCTCAAATAGAAAACATTCTGTTCCAACGTGTGATGTCAGATGGTAATACAGGAAGTGCTCCACTGTGTTTTTAAACTCCATACACCTTCACTAGAATCATTTGGATGATTTCAGACTGGAACTGGCAATCTCTACCTAACTAATGGTAAAAAGAATGTTAACTTGAAAACCATGACTTAATGACATCACAAAGTGGAACAGAGCACTACTATTACTACTACTACTACTACTACTACCTATCTACGACTATACTATCTAAAATGGGAGCAAACAAAGAGAGCAAAAAACAAGACAACAGAGAATCAGAAGCCAGGAGAAAGGATATAACTATTCCTTACATGGCTGGTGTTTCTGAAAAACTACAGAGGATTTTCAGACAATATGAAATCCCAGACTATTTCACACCTACAAACACTTTAAGACAGAAACTGGTCCAGTCAAAGGACAAAACACCGAGTCACAAACAAAACAATGTGCTCTACTCCATTCAGTGTAGTGAAGACTGCAGTGAACGCCACACTGGAGAAACAGACACTTCACAACAGGATGAACCAACACAGACGAGAGAGCAACACAGGACCTCAGTCTTCTGTACATCTCCACCTAAAAGGAACCTCAGTCTGCTGTACATCTCCACCTAAAAGGACCTCAGTCTGCTGTACATCTCCACCTAAAAGGACCTCAGTCTGCTGTACATCTCCACCTAAAAGGACCTCAGTCTGCTGTACATCTCCAAATAAAAGGACCTCAGTCTGCTGTACATCTCCAAATAAAAGGACCTCAGTCTGCTGTACATCTCCAAATAAAAGGACCTCAGTCTGCTGTACATCTCCAACTAAAAGGACCTCAGTCTGCTGTACATCTCCAAATAAAAGGACCTCAGTCTGCTGTACATCTCCAAATAAAAGGACCTCAGTCTGCTGTACATCTCCAAATAAAAGCTACAGGCCTCTCCTTTGAGGACAGTGAGGTACAGATCTGACCAGAGAAAAGAACTGGTTTGAGAAGGGAGTTAAAGAAGCTGTTTTTGTTAAGAAAGAGAAATGGAGGCCTCAGACACCATTGATCTCCTATTTATAACTCCATCCTCAAACCGAGATCAAAACAAACAAAGAGAACAACAGGTGTAGTCAGGTCAGGTCCAGAGGTGTGGAAGCTCCATTATGGTCCTGAATGATTCTGCTGATATGACCCAGTGCAGTTCAACAGACCGAGCTAACAAACAGAAACTGTAAACAGGTAGATGTGTTAGTTTCAGAGGAGTTTCAGTGTAGTTAGCTCCACCAGCGTCTGACCACAACTGAAGAAGCAGCTTGGATGAGCTGAGAAACATGTTCAACCACATAAACTTTTGTCCAGATGATAAATTGAAATTTCTCCTTTGTCATGGATTTTACCTGAACGACTGATGGATTCTTCACACACTACAACTACCACTACTTCTACTACTATTATACTATTACTACTACTGCTACTACTACTACTGCTGCTACTGCTGCTGCTACTACTACTACTACACACACTACTACTACTTCTACTGCTACTACTACTACTGCTGTTAATATTACTACTAGTCCTGCTGCTGCTACTACTACTATTACTAATGCTACTGCTACTACTACACACACTACTACTACCACTACTTCTACTTCTACTGCTACTACTACTGCTGCTGCCACTATTACTGCTACTACTGCTACTACTACTACTACTGCTGCTACTACTACTACTGAGATGTAGACAGACTAATAATAAAGTATTAATCAAACATGTGTGAATGAAACAAAACACAACTCCAGGTCTGTTTTTGAGGAGAGAACAACATTAGAACATTGCTTAAAGTTTTTTGCGTAATATAAGACCTTTAAAGTTTGTGAATGAACAGTGAAAATTTAAACTGTGATGTGAAAAGAATGACTTTTGGCCAAATCGACCCCCTCCAGCCCAGCCAGAGTTTTACCTTCATGGAGCTTCATGTGGTCCTGCAGGGAGTTCTTGGTGCACAGAGCTTTGTTACAAACTGAACAGACGAAAGGCCTCTCCCCCGTGTGCGCCCTCTGGTGGACGATCAGGCTGTGTTTCTGAGTGAAGCCGTGGCCACACACTGAACACCTGAAAGGCTTCTCTCCTAACACACAGACACACTTATTCATATTCTCAAACAAGTATTGAACTAAATGTTTTTCTTCAAACACACATCTTGTACTACCTGTGTGTGTCCTCTGGTGAATCTTCAGAAACAAGTGATTTTTAAACACTTTTTCACACTGCTCACATCTGGCTTCTGTGTTTGGATACTTCCTCTTTCTTCCTCTCTTCACCTAAATCAATAAAAGACACAACTTTACTGATGAAAGTGGAGGAATTACATTACAATGGAGCAGTTGCACGCGCCTCCTGGTGGTTTAAAAGTGCAATCACAAGTGAACCTGGGATGCCATTTCCTGTCACATACGAGGATAGAGGACACATCTTTTATGTTTAAGGTTTATTACAAACTGGTTTTAGTTGCAGCATCTCACAACCCAAAGTGTGAAGTTCATTCTGCTTTCTGATTGGATAACTGGCTTGAGAACAAAAACACAAAATGTAAACACACATTTTCCTAACGTTTCTGTGAATAAATCTACATAGTAATTGCTGTCTGTCATTTCAAGACAAAAGAGACAAAAGGCTCGATGCTGATTTTGATAATAAAAATGACAACAGAGTCATTTTGAACATAAAATAATTGTAGTATTATTACATTACCATGTGCTCTATACCAGGGGTGTCAAACTCATTTTGGTCCGGGGGCCATATCCAACCTACTTTGATCCCAAAGGGGCCGGATCAGAAAACTCATGTCATATAAACCCCAAAAATAACAATAAGTTCAAATATTTGTGCAGAGAAACACAAATCTATTACAGAAATCTTTTTTAATTGATGAACTCTTTCTTTTACTAAATATTATAATATTATGAACAACCTGAAACTTTAAGAAAAATGCAATTTCAACACAACATTTTAAAAATAACTTGTATGTAAATAGGAATAAGTCAGTTTTTCTTGGAAAATCCTGCACTCGGCTCCACTTTTCTCATGTTGGACATTTTTCTGATGAGGGTGTCACGGTCAACAGTCAAAACGATCGTCCTTTAAGAGCGTTTGGAAAGAGACAAGTCTTCATTTGTGCTGCTCTGGTGGGAGGGGCCACGTACAGAGACACTGGAGACGCTGCTGTGATAAACACCACAGAAAATTAACAATATTTTAATAGAAAATATAACTAAAATATTTTAGTAGAAAATCAACCGAGGGCCAGATTAAAGGTCTTGGAGGGCCGGATCTGGCCCCCGGGCCTTATGTTTGACACCTGTGCTCTGTACACTCGGTCTAATACAGAACATAACCTATTTACCTGCCAATTTATTTTATTATTGATGTTTGGTCAAATATAGTTTTGATACTGGTTTTCTTATCACATTTTATCTGAGTATTCATACTTTTCCTAATCCTCCTGGGAACACAAATAATGTGAGGTTTAAAGGTCCTATGATACACAAAATGGACTTGTGAGTTTTAAACCGTGTCATAATGTTGTTACCTCCTCAAAAACAGATCTGGATTTGTGTTTTGTTTTAATAACACATGTTTGAGTAACTCTGCCTTAGTCTATTCACGTCTCCAAAGCTCTAAATGCTCTGTTACACCTTGTGATGTCATGAAATTATGAATCTATTCTAGTGAAGGTGCATAGGGTTTAAAGTTTAAGTATGATTTAAGAAAAAATCCTTCATACATTAGAGTGGTGCATCAAAGCATGGTGAAAAATCAAGTTTCACATAACCTCGATTCGAACCCTGCATTAGGTTTTAGCATCCAAAAGATGATTTAGGAAGAACTTTAGAAGAAAAAGGAGATGTTTGAGAGGTTGTTCAAGCTGCATGAAGTTTTGAAGCTCCTGCAGATGATTTGGTTCCTTAAGAAGCTTCACAGTCTGCAAATTCAGTGTGAAGAAAGCACCTGAACAGTTTTGGGCGACATCTTTAGTACTTGAGTGAAGAAATGTTTGTCCTGATATTCTTTACTCCAGTGTGACAGAAGAACAGAAGAAGATGCTTCACAATATGATGGAAAAGGAAAGTTCAGAGGTTCCACCAAAGCAACGTGAAAAAGCCCTTAATCAAACAGATTATGAAGAGAAGATTTTGACTCCACCAGCACCATGATCAGCTCCTGATCTGCCAAAAACATTTTGAACAGTTCCCTGCAGCAAACTGGACTGTATTCAAGATTTGAACTGTAGCAGAACAAAGAATGAAGATCAGAAACAGGATCTACTGCAAGAGTCAAAGACACAGGAGCATCTTTAGTGACAAAACAACAAACACACAGAGGAGCTGGACTTTCAAGTCATTTTTATGGACTTCATGGACTTTCTAAGCAAATTTTATGATCTTTATAAGTCATGTTTAAATATTTTGTGTTTGCAGAATAAAATGACAATTATTCAAATACTCCTTATTTATTTGGTTCTATGTTAGAGTTTAGGCTATAGAGCAATTGTCTTGAGCTCCTCTAAATATGAATTAATTTGTATAAAATTTGGACCCAAATATTTTGGTCAGATATGGAACCAAATGCAGGGTTCTAATCTAGAGAATCTAAAAAAATTAAATTAAATTTGGACCACCCTAACATACATATAAAAGAATAAGGATATTTAGAAGGAATTATAATTTGAACAGAAATAGATTTTTAAAAATCTGTAAAAAACTAAATTACCTTCTCGTGTTTTTTAGTTTCTTCTTGTCCCAATGTGTAGAATTTGTATTTTAGAGGCAATTTTATCTGACGTTTACTTTGTTGCTCACTTGCATCACCACAACTTTGTCCAAGTTTATTTGAAGATTCCCCATCACACCTGTCCTCCTCAAAGCTCTCTTCTGGCTCTTCGTTCATCTCATTTCGCTGGACGTTTTTTCTCGGTCTTCCTCTTTTACGAGGCGTTAATTTTACAGTGATTTGTCCATTTTGACTTTTGCTCACAGCTTCTGCCAGCTTGTCTGTCAACCCTTTAACTTCTAATCTTGTAGCTGCTACCAGTAGCTGCTCTGTATGTTTTTCTTCAATAGAAATGTGTCCAGTGTAAATAAAATCGATCACAAATGAGAACATATCTGCAGCCATGTCGTCCATTCTGAGTGGAGTGTGGCTGCTTTGTGGCTGTGAGGTGAACAGGTGGTAGAAATAGTCACTGGTTGCAGCGAGGATGGTTTTATGGGCTTTGAAACGTCTGTCCTCCACCTGGATCTCCACGTCACACAGGAGACCACTGGCTCGGAGATGTTCAAATTTCTTTAAAATGTTTTGTTTGTGATTTTCTGAGTGAAGAGGAAGCATCGTGTCGTCACGGTTGAGTCCTGACAACAAAAAAAAAAAAAAAAAAAAAAGGAATTATACACGTGTACAGGTAAACTCAGGTAACAGGATGGAAGAATAAGAAAAGTAAAACAAGAATTGAAAAAGAACTACTACTACTACTACTACTACTACTACTACTACTACTCTACTACTACTACTACTACTAATAATAATAATAATGCTACAACTACTACTACTACTAATACTAATACTGCTGCTACAACTTCTACTACTACTAATACTGTTGCTACAACTTCTACTACTACTAATACTGTTGCTACAACTTCTACTACTACTACTACTACTACTACTAATAATAATGCTGCTACAACTACTACTACTACTACTACTAATAATGCTGCTACAACTACTACTACTACTACTACTACTACTAATATAATGCTGCTACAAACTACTACTACTACTACTACTAATAATAATGCTGCTACAACTACTACTACTACTACTAATAATAATGCTGCTACAACTACTACTACTACTACTAATACTGCTGCTACAACTACTACTACCACTGCTGCTACTACGACTACTACGACGACTACTTCTACTACTACTGCTACTGCTTCTACTACTGTTACTACTAATGCTGCTACTACTACTACTACTACTACTACTACTACTACTACTACTACTACTACTACTACTACTAAATATATTAATATAAAGTTGCGCTATTATTCTAGTGAGGGTGAGCCACCTGCTTCTGGAAATGCTGATGCACAAATAACAATAAAAGTATTTATTTAGTATTTATTCCATTATATTGGCCCCAAATACCCTGAAAAATATACCTTTCTCAGTCACCATGGAGATAAATCAGTTTAATGTCATACTGTGGGACATCTTAACATCTCCACGAGGACGAGCAGGTGGTGGACCCTCTACCACAGAAGTTTGACTACTACATAATTCCCCTTTAAATTGACTTTCATTCATTGTTTTTCATTCATTGTTACATTTATTAAAGTAAAATCTAGACATTTAACTAACTTAATAGTTTTGCATAAGTAACCGTAACACTTTTTCCTCTTTTAATGAATCTACTAATTATTATTATTTTTTAACAAAACCTTTTAAAAAGTTGACTAAAAATAAAAGGTCTTTGCAGCTAAAAGCCTTCTGCCTGCACGCCTCTGTTGTGTTAGCAAGCAGGCTAACAACGCATTTCCTTCTAATTAAACGCTTTAAACTCCGAATAATTTTGCATCTTATAGCATCAAATAAAACGATTAAACTAGGCCTTAAAATCAAAGTTTAGAAGCTCGCGTTTTCACGGAGTATTTCAAAGTAGTGAGCTTTTAGGACCTTACCGTGTTCTGTGCACATGAAGAGGGCGCTCACACATATACAACTGTAGATCTCGCATGGACGACCGCCGACTACTGAAGCGAATGCGTCAACAAAGCCGCCATCTTGGTACAGGCGTAACGCTTCTTTAAATGATTGAACATCGATCAGGGACAAGGTGATATCAGTGTTTCCCACAGACCAAGTAGCACTGTGTGACTCTCTGTCTCAAGTCCAAGATTAGTCCTGGTTTAGTCCTGGTTCAGTCTTGGATCAGCTTTGGTTCAGTCCTGGTTTAGTCAAATGAAACAGAAAAAGCACACCCCAAGGTTCTTGTAGAGGGGCACATGCAAAGAACAGTCAAATAAAAGTGAAAAAAAGCATAGCACACTCAGACGGCCAATGTCTAAAAACTTCTTTTAAAATTATTTTGAAATAATGTTTTGGCAAAAAAGCTTTTGTCAGAACTTTAGACAGTGGTCATCTGAGTGTGCTTTTTTTTTTTTTTTTTTTGGCTTAGAGCTGATTTAGTCCTGGTTCAGTCAGTCTGGGTTCAAAACACTTAGTATCATAGGCCTACAAAATAATCCTAAATTTTTTGTTTTCTTATTCCACTCATTCACGCTTTTGTATACAGCTCAAAAGTCCCGCATCTTCGCTCACTGACACTGTGAAAAACTTTACCTTAGACCAGATCTGGTCTTTGTCCAGCTCTCATGCCACGTACGACCCTTTTGGCTGACTCTGACTGGCCCCTTTGAGCTGTTGGGAAAAAAAAACAACATACATATTTTTATATATTTTAACATATTTTATATATTTTATTTATTTTTTACATCATGCAAGGACTAAAGCAGGATTGCTTTTATTTAAGAGGTGTGTTTTATAAATGACATTTTTTGTAAGGCAACCTCACTTTTTCATTGCTTCGTCAGAACATAAACTCTCACCAGTTTGACCAGCTTATTTAGTGCTTTTTTTTTTTTTTAATAAAGAAATTAAATTAATATTATGCAGAATTGAATTAAGCATTTTGGCCTCCACCATATTTTCTGTTTCTCGTGTGGCCCCATGAAATAAAAGAATTGCCCACCCCTGACCATGAAACCCCTGTACCAAGATGGCGCCAAGATGCTGAACGCGAGATCTAGCGTTCTATATCCTTGGCGAGAATTCAGGCGTGTTCTCGCGTGATCGGACGGGATTTCGTGCAGTTCATCTGAAGCCAATTCTTCTAGTGCGTTTAATAAGCTCCAGTTTGGACTTCTGCTGACATTCAAGACGAGAAACACAGACTTTTAAACGTGCATTTTAAACAGGTTCATTGTCCAAATCCTAATCCGGGTAATCTTGGAGTAAAAACGCGATATAATTATGTCTGAGAAGGCTTTTGTTCACAACCTGCTTTAATTCTCTGCAAAGTGAGGTAGGTGAACCTGTGTACTTCATGTCCTTTGCATATTATGTTTCGTGGGGGATATTTTCTCATATTTTTTGCCTTAACTGGCTTCACTTTAGATGAAAAGTTAAGACCTAAATACTTAATATAATACAATAATGCATAGCCCAAATGACAGAACAATCAAAATGTTCAAAGCATGTATTTTCACTGTATTTTAACTAATTAAACTAAAAATCATAAGTTTTCCTTTACAGGTCTCTTTTAACGCCACAATATATAACTTTTTAGCCCCAAAAAATAGACAAAAATAGTTTTGGTTTTTTTTTGTTACACTGAAAAACACGCGTCCTTACTCTGAGTGGGCTTGCATCTCCACAAACCTTTATGTGGCCTGGAGAAGTTCTGCTGCTTGTTTTCATGGCTGTAATATTCTACAGTGTGGCATAAAGTGTGTGTATCTCCATGGAGAATATTTAGAATTCTCTTATTTCCTTGGAATTTTGAAAGTTACACAGTTTCTCAAAGTCAGATGTGTTTCCTGGTAGAGCCAAATATCAGTAAAGGTAAATACAGGTTTAAGGTGAAGCTCCGCTGATAAACTTTTATAACCTACAGAACAGTAGGTTATAAAAGTTTATCTAGCCTCACAGTGAGACATTGTCCTAGTTTGCTCTTTGTACTTTGAAATCATGTGGTTAAAATTCAACGTTTAGGACTAAATTTGCACTATTTAACTTTTTGGTTGAGGGTCCATCACCTGCTTGTTTCTATGGAGATGTCATTGCTCTGCCTGGAATGTTCCACACTGTGACATTAACAGGAGTGTGCAAACATATTGAAATATCGATATATCGTATTGTTTAATGCAGTGTTTCTCAACCTTTTTTGAGCCACGGCACGTTTTTTACGTTGGAAAAATCTTGCGGCACACCACTAACCAAAATGTTACAAAAATGACACTATACAGTATATTTAATTACAATATAATTTCTACATTAATTTCTACTTACTCAGTGTGAGACCTGCGCCTGTTTAGATGAACACAAAGCTGATATCCTGCAGGAATAGAAGAAAGACACACACGAAGCTCTTCATCAACAGCTCTCAGTCTCTCTCTGTTTTTAGTTTTTATAGCAGTTAAGCTTGAAAAGCTCTTCTTCTGGGTCAGAATCTTGTCCAGGGCCCATTTCGGAGTTTGCATTCGTCCGTTTTAAAAACTTTTCCATGACTGTCACCTACGCACATGCGTTACTAATTCTTTTAAAGCAGGGGTGTTCACACTTTTTCAGCACACGAGCTACTTACAAAATGACCAAGTCATAATGATCTACCTAATACAAAACCAAGCAAACTGCACTGAAACACTCTGTGCCACTTTTTTGGACCCTCAACCACAGTTTGAGAACCTCTTCTTTAAGAGAACTTCCTCTGGCACTTTACACAAAACTGTGAAAAAAGTGAAGGGAGATTTTTAAACCTGTTTTTTAAAGTTCCAAACTGGAGTTTCATTCTTTTCTGGTTTTGCAGTGATATTTACCAGCCTCTGCACGTTTACCAAACCAAACGCACATCGTGACAAACACAGATGCATTTGTCACTTTTGTTAGACAAACTTCAGCCAAATGTGGCAGTAGGTCTGTTCTGTAGATCCGCTCTATGCTGTAGACCTGCTTTGTGCCAACACTGGAACACAAATTTAGACTGGTTTTTGCTTCACGTTTGGTCTTGTTCTTCTAATCAGCCGCTCTGTGGGAGGGGCTTGTGTTGGCTGTACGCAGGAAGGAGCGAGAGCGTGAAAAGACGCCCCACACGCTCTGGCACACCTGTACAAGTTTATTGCCAACAGCAGCGGCCATAATGAAATATGATCACACTTGTTGAGTGTCAGACCTCGAGTGAGAGACAAGACCGAGTCCAAACGCGAGTCCGAGTCGAGACACGGCGATCTACCCACACGACCTTGGCGATCGACTGGTAGATCGAGATCAACGTATTGAGCACCACTGATTTAAAGGAACGAGGCAATTAGCTGCCTGTCGCCACCCGGACGAATATTAGATCACTCTGCCAGTCATTATACACTACACTGTACTACAGCACGGACACTCCACAATGACATCATATTTGCAGGTAATAATTAATAAATTTTTATTTTAAAAAAAGTGATATTGGATAATTTCTCACCTGTCACCTGACGATCTCTCACGGCACACTAGTGTGCACACTAGTGTGCACACTGTGCTGCTGCTCTACAATGGATTTCCTTAAAAGGACACAACCTACACAAAGATCACCTTAAAAACATACATGTTTCACATAGTGGTACCTTTAAACATACATAAGATTTCAGTGGTTAAACAACTCAACATGTATTAGTCAAATATATCATTTCAGTATTTGATATATGCATGTGGTACACTCACGATACTGTGTTACTTGATACAGTCTTCAACATTAAACAGCTCTACCTATTCTACCTTTCGAGCTTATTCAAGTACAGGTGGTTTTACAGCTCAAAAATACCTAGAAAAACAGACATTGTGACTGTGAGCGGGGTCGCCTCTCCACAGATCTGACCTATAACTTAGTCTGGTTTGATCTCCATGAAGATAAAAAGGTTTAATGCCATACTGTGAAACATTCAAGACGAAGCATCAACATCTCCATGGACAAAAGCATTTAACAAACCCTCCAAAAGAAAAGTGACGCAGTGCTTCTTTAGGGTTCCAGTTGAATTTCCTGGTTGTTCTGTTGTGTTTTCAGATCGGAGGAGGATGAGTCGTGTGAAGGTGGTCGTGGTCGGAGCTGGAGTGATCGGGTTTACCTCTGCTCTTTGTATCGCAGAGTCGCTCCCAAACGTCGTCGTGACGATCATCGCCGAAAACTTTAGTCCCGACACGACGAGCGATGGAGCAGCCGGGATCCTGTTTGCTGCGCAGTATCCAGGTAACAAAGACGCAACTACACAAGGGTTTTAAAGGTGGAGGGTCTGGCACCTCCTTGTCTCCATGGAGATGTGCCTGGAATGTTCCACAGTATGGACATAAACCTCTGAATATCCTTGGACACGTAAAACACAAATTACGGGTTAGAGTTGTGGAGAGGTGACCCCACTCACAGTAAGAGTGTTTTTTTTTTTGTTTTTTTTTAAAGATTTTTTGTTAACAATTAAAACACCTCTAGCTGAATAAATGCCAGACAGATTCATTTAATGCCACACTGTGGACTATTTAGTATCGTTTAATGGTTTGCATTTTGTAAATCCAAACATGAGTGACTTTATCATGAAAAAGCAGTATTTTTCAGACAATTTGAATAATTCTGGCCAAGAAGAAGTTGTTAATAATCTGTCAAGAGTTTAATCTGTAAATGACCCTGAGGAAAACACTCATCCATCTTAAATATGACACAAAGTCTTGTCCTCACCTCAGGTGGTTTTAAACTTGTGGGTGTGATCTGAAAGTGGTTCGCCCCTGATGCCAGTTATCATTTCAGTGGTTCACTGACACTGGGTGCAGTAAAACAGGTCTTTTTTGTGGCAAAGAAATCAGCAAAACATCTCAGAAATGTCACGCAGTGCACCTTTATAAGAGCATATGTGTGTGTGCATTCTGTGATGTCTCCAGCAGATGCTGCTGTAGAGTCGCCCTAAAGATGAGCCCAAACACCAGTGAACTCCTCTTATGTTGTTTCTGTTCTTGTGTTTCAGAGATCCCAGTGGAGAGGCAGAGGCGCTGGTTTAAACACTCTTTCCATCACCTTCTGGAGGTCGCTCACTCGGCCGACGCCCCACACGCTGGAGTCATGCTCAGCTCTGGGTACGACTCTAAGAATATATACAATATATACTGTCAATATAATATATACAATATATACTGTCATTTTAATATATACAATATATACTGTCATTTTAATATATACAATATATACTGTCATTTTAATATATACAATATATACTGTCATTTTAATATATACAATATATACTGTCATTTTAATATATACAATATATACTGTCAGTCAGAAAACAGGATGAGCTTCAGAGGAGACAAATGAATGAATGCTTGAATAAATAATAAACTGAGTATGTCTCTTTGTTTCTTCAGGTGTCAGATCTTTAAGCAGGTGCCGTCGGTGAAGAGGCCCTTCTGGTCAGACCTGGTGATCGGTTTCAGGGAGATGAGTGTGTCGGAGCTGCAGAGGTTTCCAGAGCACAGCTTTGGGCAGGTCTTCACCACGCTCAAGTGTGAGTGCTCCAGATACCTGCCCTGGATTCAGCACAGGTACACACTTACTCTTATTTTAGAGACTATAGTTAGTATTTTGTAATCCGTAATGTTCCTGTGTTTGAAAGGACACATATAAGAGAGACAGAGAGATACTTTATTGATCCAGAGGGAAATTCAAACTTTGCTGCAACATCATTTCCACTGTGCGTCTCAGTGGCTTTTGTTTCTCAGTCACAGGTTTGAGTTTGACAGGACGACTGGTCAGGGAGGGTCACAGATCTGTGTCTGAGCAGAGGAAGAGACAAAGTGTCCCTCCTCTGTGTCCTGCAGCATCACAGCAGCCTCCAGGGGGCGCCAGGTGAACACAACAGGATGTTGCCATAGCAACAGACAATTTAAAAACGAAATATTATTATAATTTTATTGTTTTATTACTTTATTATTATCTTTTGAAAGAGAAAAAGTCATCAAATATTTGATAAGAGGAAGCTTAAACCCACGAGTTGGTTCAGCTGCGAGGAGAGTGCCGAGTGCCGAGTGCCGAGTGCCGAGTGCCGAGTGCCGTGTGCCGAGTGCCGTGTGCCGTGTGCCGTGTGCCGAGTGCCGGTGCCGTGCCGAGTGCCGCGTGCCGAGTGCCGAGTGCCGAGTGCCGCTCCACACTGATCACTCACGTTCTGCTTCTGGAACTCAGTTTCTCGTTCTTTTTTCCCGTCGACCTCCTGAAAAACAAATATACAGTATATTCACAGTTTGAAAGCTCAGGGCTAATCATCTCTGTGGTAACTAATGTAAACATTAAAAACCACTCAGTTATTAAAGCATTTCACACAGTCTTGTATTTCAGATGAGCTTATTGGGTTTAAAACGAGCGTGTTCTGGATATTTGTTTGTGTGTAGCTGGTGAGCCTCAGCGATGTCTTTGAACTCTTTAATATTTAACATTTTCTAAAAGTCTATGGGGAAAATGAATGGAAAATTTACTTGAGGAACCGGAGCAGGTGATCTCTGAGCTCCACTGGACTTTACATCTTATAATGCCGCCAGTTAAATAAGTTTGTGTTTAACCAATAAAGATTCTGTTGACAGTGCACATTACACACATGTCCAGAGAATGAACAATTATTCATTTCAACCCTAACCCTACATTTGAGAACATGTGTTTACAGCAAATCTTCAGGTTATTACAGATTAATTTAAACGCTTCCAATTACAATTTTGATTCAGTTGTGTTCAATTATGCATCATTATATAAAAATATCGAATTCTCTTGTTCCAGATTTGTAAAAGCTGGCGGTGTGGTGGAGCAGAGGCGTGTGTCCAGTCTGGAGGAACTCTGTGGTTTTGATCTGATCGTGAACTGCTCCGGACTCGGCTCCAGAACTTTAGCCCAAGACAGTACTGTTTATCCCGTCAGAGGACAGGTCCTTAAAGTATCCGCTCCCTGGATACAACACTTTATCCGAGACGGCGATGGAAAAACCTACATTTACCCAGGCATTGAAGGCGTCACACTGGGCGGAACCAGGCAGGAGCAGGACTGGAGGCTGGAAGTAGATGAACAGGATACTACAGGGATTTTAGAAAGATGCAAAAAACTAGAACCATCACTGGAAAATGCCAAAGTTCAGAGTAAATGGGTGGGGTTAAGACCGAGCAGGAAGTGTCCAAGAGTAGAGAGAGAAGTGGTGCAAATGAAAGGTAAAAAGATGAGTGTAGTTCATAATTATGGGCACGGGGGGTGGGGGGTGACGGTGGCCTGGGGCTGTGCTGTGGACACACTCGGTTTGGTCAAACAGAGTTTACAAGAAATATCTCCAATGGCCAAACTGTGAGGAAAACTCTTACATACGATACAGAGCAGCTGTTCCTTCACTAAATAGAATGTAACAGGGATGTATTTAATAACAGATAAAACTGCCGGCACCAAAACTCATAGCAAAAACTATCATCAGATTTGTAAGAATAATAGCACTAAAACAGAGGTCTTCAACAGGGAGGTGGTGACACCCAGGGGGGTGCAGAGGTACTGCAGGGGGTCACGACATCTTTGGTTTCTTCATTTTTGAAGGATGAGGATGAACTGGTTTTCAGTGGATTCTGTCTGTGCACTCCTTCATCATGTCTGTCTCTCTCTCTTCATTCCCTTTTTTTTATGCACAGTGGAACTTTAGCTCCGCATGTACTGAGCATCAGGAAGAGGTCAGGGAACTTCATTCCCCACCCGCTTTAACCAGACGCCACACTCCACAGCCTCGTCCTCTCTGTCCACGGAGCCACCAGGAGAGGAGGAGGAGGAGGAGGAGAACAGGAGAGGAGGACGAGTGAACAGAAGAGAAGAGCAGAGGGGGAGTCGTGTCTTTCCTCGCGCTCCTCAGATCAGAATGACCAGAAAAGTTCCGTGTCCCAAATCAAACTGTGTGTGTGAGCGTTGTGGCTCGTCTCTCGTTTAATCAGATCATTTAAAAAAGTCACACTTGGAGCTCATTTTCCGTGATGTTGTTGCTCCGTTGCTCTGTTCTTCTCAGTGTCACCGCGAGCACAAAGTGCAGCTTAAACTTCAGGCTTGAGTGGCTTTGGTCAGATTCAGGTTTATTTCTGTCATGGAACAAGTTGAAGCTTAAACTGGAGATGGAGTTAGTTTGAGCTCAGAATTTCAGGATAAACCTGGACTTGTTAAGCGACTTCGACAGAACACCCTCCTAGTGAATGTACAATAACAGAGCAGCTGTTTATACATGACACTAGGCTCAATTTAATATAAAACACAACTGTATGTCATATACAGACAGGAACAAAATGATTAGTACTCCTCTGGTAATGAAAGAAAAATCAATGACTGAAAAAACAAGTAACTAAGACAAAGCAATAATAAATTAAAAACTATTGAAAAATAACCAGTGAAAATCAGCCACTGTTTTTGAATTGTTGTTCAACAGAATTATTTAAAAAAACAAACTAATGAAACTGACCTGGACAAATATGATGGTACCTCTAAAAAGGATTGTAAATAACTGAACAATGTTAAACTTGGGTGTGTTTCTAATCTGCATCACAGGTTCTTCAAACTTGTCCTCAGTCAGTTTGTCTGTTTAAAGTGGGACATGTGTCATTGTGTTTGGAGACATGATGGACACAACACTGAACATGGACCAGAGAAAGAGAAGAAGAGAACTGTGTCAGGAGACTAGAAAGAAAATAATAGACAAACAGGATAAAGATAAAGACAATAAGACCATCTCCAAGCAGCTTGATGTTCCTGTGATTACAGTTACACATGTTCTTCACAAGTTTAAGATCCACAGGACTGAAGCCAACCTCCCTGGACGCGGCTGCAAGAGGAAAAGTTTATGACAAATTGAAGAGATGGATATGAATGGAACCAAAAAGCCCAGAACAACCTCCAAACAAATTAAATGTGAACTTGAAGGTCAAAGTACATCAGTGTCAGATCACACCATCCATCAGTGTTTGAACCAAAGTGGACTTCATGTGAGGACACCACTGCTGAGAGAAAATCATAAAAAAGTGAGACTGGAATTTGCCACAATGCATACTGACAAACCACAAAGCTTCTGGGAGGATGTTCTTTGGACAGATGAGACAAAACTGGAGCTCTTTGGCAACACACATCAGCTCTATGTTCACAGACGCAAAAATGAAGCAGCCCAAGAAAAGAACACTGTCCCCACTGTGAAACACGGAGGAGGTTTGGTTTTGTTTTGGGGCTGTTTTGCTGCATCTGCCACAGGGCATCTTGAATCTGTACAAGGTACAACGAAATCTCAAAACTATCAAGGTGTTTTGGACTGAAATGTGTTGACTAGTGTCAGAAAGCTTGGTCTCGGTTGTAAGTCATGGGTCTTCAGAAAGGCTAATGACCCAAAACACACAGCTAAAAACACCCAACAATGGCTAAGAACAAAACATTGGACTGTTCTGGAGTGTTCTTCTGTTCTGGAGTGTTCTTCTGTTCTGGAGTGTTCTTCTGTGAGCCCAGATCTCAATCCTGCTGAAACATGCGTCTGGAGAAGGAACCCTTCAATCCTGAGACAACTAGAACAGTTTGCTCACAAGAAATGGATCAGAATACCAGTTGATCAGTGCAGAAGTCTCATTGACAGTGACTGAAATCATTTGTTTGCAGAGTTTGCCTCAAAAGGTGTAACAAAATATGAAGTTAAGGGAACCATCATTTTTGTCCAGGCCAGTTTCATTATTTTGTTTTTTTGTAATAATTCTGTTGAACCACAGGTGAAAAGCAATGTTTGATTTTTGTTGTACAATTTTCAGTTTTTTTTTTTATTTATTATTGCTTTTCTGTGATTATTGCTGATTTTTCTTTCAGTGCCAGAAGGATACCAACAGTTTTGTCCACGTCTGTATATAGTCGGGGGTCCCTGCTCCAGCTCTCCATCAGTTTGGGGGTCCCTGGCCTGAAAAACATTGAAGAACGCTGCTGAAAACAATTCACCAGATAACTTTTTAGTATGTATGCATGATCTTGTGTCAATTATGTTTCGCAAGATTGTGTAGCACGAGATCTTGTCCCACCCCCTGCTGCCTTCTGTGTAGAATCATAATTTTGATTTCTGACATAAAACATTGAAAATCACTATGTCTAACTACAAATAGATTCTGTAGTCCTTTAAAATAAGCTTCCTGTTTGAGAATGTGAAATATCTAGAAATCAATTATACAGAAAAGGGTGAATTTCTTTAATGTACTGTGAACTCTAAAATGTGATTACTGAAAAATACTAAATTATTACTAAAAAATATCTGTTTACAATAAATAACTTTATTTAACTTACGATAACTTGTGCATTGTAGTTTTTGTAGTTTGTAGATTTTCCTCACAAATATGTACATTTTAAAGCAACAAATGAAGTCAGACTTGTGCAAACTGAGATGGTTTTGACTTGTACAGAGGAGGACAGTGGATAAATGGGTAGAAGAATGTGGAGGTTGGAGCTGCCACAAAACAGGAGGCCTAGAAGAAGACCAAAGGTGAGATCGATGGGAGAGAATCAGATGGAGATGGAGAGGAGAGGGTCAGTGTTACAGTGTGCCCCCTAGTGGTTACAAAACAAAAAAAACGACTACTTTTTTGTGATGGGCATTTATTAAGCTCAGGCACAAAAGAAACACTGAAAGATGAATGTGAGAAACAGACGATGAAGACACTGGATACACACACACACGCACCACACACACACACACACACACCTGAAACTGAACTTTTACTATCACTGTGTGGGGTTGAAATATTGATCAACCAGAACATTAGATCAGAGTTAGTCCTGGTTTAGTCCTGGTTTCAGACCTAATTAATTCTATGCATTTTTTTTTCTTTTTATACTTATTTGTTATTGACCTTGGAGTCTATTTAAAGTCACAGTATGTAACTTTTTTGAAAAAAAAAAAAAAAAGATTAAAAAGCTTGTTTTTTCCATCCATTTTCTTCCACTTATCCAGGGCCGGGTTGCAGAGGGAAGCAGCCTGAGCACGGACTCCCAGATTTCCTTGACCTCCCAGGTGTTCCCAGGCCAGCCCAGAGACATAGTCCCTTTTGGGTCTTCCTCTGGGCCTCCTCCCGGTGGGACATGCCCAGAACAGATGCCCTCCCCTCAACTGGCTCCTCTCAACGTGGAGGAGCAGTGGCTCTAGTCTGAGCTCCTCCCATGTGACTGAGCTCCTCACCCTATCTCTAAGGGAGCGCCCAGCCACCCTGCGGAGGAAACTCATTTCTGTCACTTGTATCAGCGATCTTGTCCTTTCAGTCATTACCCAAAGTTCATGACCATAGGTGAGGGGAGGAACAGAGACTGACGGTAAATCGAGAGCTTTGCTTTAGTTATTCAAAGTCAAGTTGAAGATTTCGTATATGACATTACATTTATGCTCCCGTTCTATTTTCTCTTTTGAGTGGATGAGTATTTGACTGACTTTTCTGTTCGGTTTCACTGGTGTGTTCATAATGTGTTTTCTGCCCTCCGCACTTTTTCTGTTATGTCCCTTGAAAAACAGAATCCTTCCTTTATTCAGAAACAAATGTATGCGTCCCATATTGAGCTGAAAAGGGACACACTCTGTCCCATATTACTGTGAGAATCAAAAAAAAGTGTGTAGTCAGTGGAATGGCGCTTTATAAGAACAGTTACAGTAAATGGCCCCACGGCTCTGGGCTCCGAGCTCCGGCCTGGCCATGGGCTCCGAGTTCTGGTTCTTGGGTCTTTCTCTTTCTTCTAGATGCCCCCGAGGCATCCAAATAGAGTTACTGATTTACCCAGATACCACCGAAAGAAAGACTGTGATTGGTCCATTTCCATTCCATTATATTAACCCTTTGTTTCCGAAAAAATATCAGTCCAAGTTTATAACACTGATCTAGAAATGATTACTAGTGTTGTGTTTATTACTCACTGAATAAAAAATATTGAAAAAATATATTAGTTGTACAAAAATTCATTCAATATTTTTTCTTGGGCCTTCACTAAAAACCTTGAAGGCTCTGAGGGTTCCCGTCTGCAACAAAGCAGCGTGGACGACAGTGGCGCCGACTGTGCTTTATGCTGTTTTATTGAAATAGGCTGTCCCGTCAAAATGAGCTACCTGCAGCCTAACGTAGGTATTCTGTCGCAAATCTAACATGCACATGTCCATGCTTACACATGCAACTGATCAAAACCCACAGTAAAACCAATACATTTTTAAAATGTGACTTGTTACTCCACTTCTACCTCAGGAGCTCAAATTGACAGCACTTCAACTGGAACAGCGCTTGGGGGTGTGCGCCTGCGTAGTAACGCTATGTAGCTCAAATCGACAGGTAGCTAAAATTTGACAGAACACTGGCCCTTATTTATTTTTCAGGGAGCAACCCTGGTTATGCCCCTGCTGCACGGTGATGTTACTCTGCCTGCG